AATCAATTATTTTCTCATCAAAAGGAGGCTAACAAAGAAAGGCTTTAAGGATGAGGACCCCATAATTTACGTAAGCCTCCAGCTTTAACAAGATTTCCAGAGTGTTTAGAACTTCACAGGAACCCAGTACTGGCTCCAGCTTCCTCCAGCAAATGGAATATTTACAGCAGCTGAGAAATCCTTTCATTGCTAGGGAAAAAAACACCCTAGAGTGGCCCTTAAATGGGATACATTCATTAAATTCATTTAATCTGCACACTGATGTGGAGCAAGGGAAATGGCAGGAGGCAGGTAAGAATGAATGAATTTTGCCCCAACAGATCACAATTGCACCCTCCCCTTCCTGGGCTTCAGGGTCCTGGGCTCCTTCACACCTCCATGGTCCTTCTTCTCCACCTGATGAAGATGATTCACCCCCTCATGGTCAGCTCCTGAGCCCAGACTCTTCTTCTGCAAAGCACTCCTGGCCTCGCCTGGCAGAAGTAGGTTTTTTCTCTAGGTCCTCATGGTGTTTCATGCAAACCCACCTGACAGCATCTCCCAAGTTATTCATTTCTTGGACTCTTTTCTATAAAATGTAGTTTCCTAAGGACAGAGTCTGGGTTTATTCATTGTCAATAATCACAGAAGCTCCCACCTCGCACACCCAGCACCTGGCTGGCTTCAAATAGGTCCAGTTCACCTCTTTGGAAAGCCACTTGGAGGCTGAAGCCAAACCATAGCCCATCATTCTCTGAGAAGCACATTCAGTGGAAAGAGCTCTTACTCCCTACAGACCAAAATTAAAACCCAACCACAATTCCAGAACCCCCCAACAAGACACTCATTACAGAAGAGCTGCACTTTAAGAAACAAAGACAAATCCAAAAACCATTGTTCCCAAAAGTCACAGAAATTGGTCAAGCACAGGAAAAGGGTCTCTTAAAGGATGCATCACCAAACGGACCCAGGGCTCCATTTCCAGGAGAGGAGACGAGGACTTGAAACAGACGGGGCCACTGCCCACACCACGGGCCTGGCCCAGGAGGATCTCCACCTTGGTAGGGCCTTGGAGGTTCAGGGAAAGTGATGATGTCCTTATAATGTTAAAGACAGAGGACAGGCAGTAAGAGAGAATGCTGATCCCCTTTTCTTCTCTACTTCCTTTTTCCAAAGTTAACTTTTATTTATTTTCTGAGTGTGTGTGTGTGTGTGTGTGTGTGTGTATATATACACACAAAACAAAATTCAAAAGTCACAAGAGTGAAAAGTAAGACTTTCTTCCACTCTTTTTCCCCAGCCACCCATGTCCCCCACTGCAGAGGCAATAACTTCAGCTTTCTTTAAATAATTTATAAACCTTTGAACACTTCTGATACACACTCATGCACTTATGCAGGTATGTGAGCAGGAGGTCAGCTGGGCCTTGGAAGATCCCACTCTATTCCTTCCATATCTTAACTCATGCAACATCAATGCATGCCCACCAAGAAACAAATCCCAGGAAAAGCCCAGGGTCTAACCAAAGTCTGGGTGCAGCAGACTAAGTGAACACCTCATCATGTATCCAGACGGTCCTATTAACTTGGACAAGAACTGCAGAAAGTGTAGTTCCAACCCCTTCCATGTGCCCATCTTTGCTTAAAATCAGAACTTCTTGCCTCTGCTTGCACTCACTTTTTCTGAGAAGATTCTCAGAAATGTTAAGGTCGTCAATACTAAGTTTTTCATCACAGTAGAAGTCAGCAGAATGTTAATGCAATACAAAGCACAGTTCTGAATTATTATGGGCTGAACTGTGTCCTCCAAAATCTGTATGTTGAAACTCTAACGTCCTGTAGCTCAGAATGCGAATGTATTTGGAGACAGAACCTTTGAAGAAGTAATTAAGCTAAAATAAAGTCATTAGGGTGGGCCCTAATGCAGTATGACTGGTGTCCTTATAAGAAGGAAAAAAAAGGACACACACAAAGTGGGATGACCACGCGAAGACACAGGGTGAAGACACCATCTGCAAGCCAAGGAGAGGCCACAGGAGAAACCACCCCTGCTGAAACCTGGACCTCAGACTTCCGGCCTCCAGAACTATGATGAAGTAAATTTCCATTGTATAAGCCCTTAAGTCTGTGGTGCACTGTTACAGCAGTCCTAGCAAACTAATGCCGTAATAAAATATATTTAAAGCATTTGTCGGTGCATTAGCAATAGGTATTGCCAGGGGGTAACGGCAGAATTATAACCCACTGGATAAAGCAGGAGTGCTGTGAGCATACTAATACAAGTAAACACAGGAATACAAGCCTGATGAAGTTGACGGTTTCCAAGAACCTCCCCATCAAATACCAAATGCTGATTAATTTGAAAGGGAAGGCCTAACAGATGCCACCTCTGCCAGTCAATCTCATCAGTTAGGGGACACAGTGACCCTGTGCACCATCCAATGAGAGCAATGGGAAGGTTTTATACAACATCGTTTCTGCAGTGGGCCTGCCCATAGACAAAGCCTGATAAACAGAAGTGGTGGGATTTCCTACAAAATAACCTGCCTGCGCTCTTCACAAATGTCAAGGTCATGAAGGTCAAGGGCAGGCTGGGGAATGTTCCAGACTAGAGAACACTCCAGAAGCACAGAGCCTAATGACCCTGCAGTGAATCCTGCTGCTCAAAGGGACATCACTGGGACCGCTGTTGCAACTGTCCAGATTGGGGTCTGATGGTGGTCATGCATCTGTACTAATGTTGTGATTTTCATGATGGTTGTATTAGGATTATGCACAAAAAAGTCCTTGTTTGTAGAAAATACACACTAAAGCATTTTGGGGGTAAGGGGACATCTTGCCAGCTGCTTACTTTCAGATGGTTAGAGGGGGGACGAGGAACTTCCATATACTCTACTTGCAACTTTCCAGTAAGTTCTGAACTTCACATATATAACTTGGAAAAACTGAAAAAATCCTAAATATTGGAAACGAGTGGAGTGTTTGATCTGTTACAGGCAATGGCACTTGACCAGATAATACGCCACCATTAAAATTGATTATTATAAAAAGACCAAGTAGGTAACAAGAAAAACATGTTTACGAAATAAAACCACGTCAGTATGATCACAAATGTGTTAAAATGCAAGTACAATGAGTCCGACGTCCTCACTTGACCTCATCGATCAGGTTCTTAGAAACTCCCACGTTAAATGAGATGACATGCTGTGTGCCGTAAGAACTTAACTCTTGTTTCTATCAGTTAGCGTACGGTAGAATCAGTTTTATTCTACAGTATGTCATTTCACTTGAAGTCACAGTTTCCAAGAGCCTAGCAGTGCTTTTTAGTGAAGACTTCCTGTTAGTACTCCTTTTTCGATGGTGAGTTATCTCCAGCAATACAGTCGCAAATAATTTTTGTTTTCTTATTTATACTATTTTTCTTCTAAATACTGACATCCGTGTATTAATTTTATCATGCGGTGAAAAAATTAGGGAGGACGAGCACTCCTGAGCTATCCAGCCTCTTCAGCGAAGGTGATTAGCAAAGAGAAAACAAGACCAGGGAAATATCACATGGAGAGAGGGTTCGTAGAGAAAAGCCTGACGGGGGCAAAGAACCTCCTGAGATGCAGAAGGATGAGGGGAGAAATTCGAGGAAAGGCATTAAGGCATCTGAATTTTGAGGACTTGAAAGGAAGTTCTACTGAAGGAGCAGGAGGGCAGGCGAGGCTCTCAGGGCGGGCGGCAGTATGTGTCGGGCATCCATCTAGCTGGGCAAATGGAGTGTAGGGTTCCACACTGAAGCCACCTCTCCTTGTCATATACAGGGAGAAGCCTGAGCAGCCTGCAATTAGGACAGTTTGGTTCCCATCCTTTCGACCTTGAATGAGAACCCAGAGCTGACAGTTCAGCCTATAGAGCTAGCCCATGACCAGCCGGGCGCAGTGGCTCATGCCTGTAATTCTAACACTTTGGGAGACTGAGGCGGGTGGATCACGAGGTCAGGAGTTTGAGACAAACCTGGCAAACATAGTGAAACCCCGTCTCTACTAAAAATACAAAAACTGAGCCGGGCATGGTGGCAGGTGCCTGTGATCCCAGCTACTAGGGAGGCCGAGGCAGGAGAATCACTTGAACCCAGGAGGTGGAGGTTGCAGTACACCAAGATTGCGCCATTGCACTCTAGCCTGGGCGACAATGTGAGACTCTGTCTCAAAAACAAAAAAAAGAACTAGCCCACGACCAAGACAATCCACTCCCCATGAGAGCCGGCGGGTGGTCTCCAACTGACCATAAGAGGCAATGAAAATGCTCAACGAAAAAATATATACAAGATGCCTCCACTTACCGAAAGGTCAAAAACAGGCAACACTAAGCAATCTGCTGTTTAGGGATTATTATGAACCGAATTGTGTCTCTCCAAAATTCCACCTTAAAGTCCTAACCCCAGGACCTCCAAATATGACTGTATTTGGGGATAAGGTTTTTAAAGGAGTAATTAAGTTAAAATGAGGTCATTAGGGTGGACCCTAAAGACAGGTGTCATAAGAAGAGGAGATGAGGACTCAGACACAGAGAGGTGCCCATGTGAAAACAGAGGGAGAAGGCGTCATCCGCCAGCCAAGGAGAGAGGCCTCAGGAGAAGTCACCCCTGCCGACACCTGATCTGGGACTTCCGGCCTCCAGAACCGGGAGAAAGTAAATGTCTGTTGTTTCAGCAGCCCAGCCTGTGGGACTTCGTTATGGCAGTCCCAGAAAACTAATAGTTGAGCATTCCTAATCTGAAAACAGGAACTCTGACGTGTTCCAAAATCTGAAACACTTTGAGTGCTGGCATGACGCTCCAAGGAAATGCTCACTGGAGTACTTCAGATTTCAGATTTTGGGGTTAGAGATGCTTAACCTGTAAGCACAGTACAAAACCCAAATCTGAAACACTTCTGTTCCAAGCATTTCAGACTAGAGGATAGCTGGCCTGTCCTATACTGCAAAACTGCAAAGTAAGGATATTATTAACACAAAACAGAGGACAGTCACTACCTTGGAAGACGAGATCCAGAAAGCTGCACAGGAACTGGGGATGAAGGTCAATTTCTCCAACAGGGTGGAAGTCACTGAACTTGTTCATCATTATTCATGCTTCCCATTCACATTTTCTTCACTGTTTTGTATGGATGATATAAAATTATTAAGGTGATAGCTGGAGCTCTGTAACAGCACTGTCCAATATGGTAGCCACTAGTCACATGGGGCACTTTATATTTAAATTGATTAAAATCAAGTAGTAAGATCAGAAATGCAGTTCCTCATTCACACTAATCACATTTCCAGTGCTCAACAGGGACACGTGGCTGCAGGCTACTGATCTGGACATGACAAGTATAGAACATTTCTATCATTGTAGAAAATTCTATTGGACAGTGCTGCCCAACACAGTCTGATGGACAAGAGGCCTTGGAATGAGACACCTATGCACCAGAATCCTCTCTCACTCCAAACAGGAAACAAACCCCACCCACTGTCCTACTGCCCATCGCACCTCTTAAGTGTCCTTGCAGGAAGTTAGTGAACCTTTTCCAACAGAGCCCTTGCCAGCGCTTAAATCACCACCAAAATCCCTTCCCCTTCCAAGGTCCTGGTGGCCTCGGAGCCCCCTTCTCAGTCCCCTACCCAGGGCCCCTATCTAGCATGAGTTACATCTGGAGGTAAAATCTCAGGGGATTTCACAGCAATGCAGTAGCACGTTATGGCCACTGAGACAAGTACACAAAGGAAACCGAGAGAAAGCACACTCACCATCCTACCACAGAGCTAGAACCAAAGCTCACTCAACAAAGATGGAGCTGGAGGAGTCACCAAAGGGAAGCTCTGTACTTCTGAAGCCAAGGTCCTTGAATGCTAATCCCTTTCTTTTTGGTCTGGTTTCACCAATCTGATCATCTGTCAATCAGGTTTCAGTTTGACCTGTCCTTCATTCAACACCATTTCATAAAACGCGCCTCTACTGTCCGTGTGATGGCTTTTGCTGAAATACATCCAAATAAACACAGGCAGCAACACACACCAGCCAAGCCCGTTCAAATAAGCATTTCAGATCTCAACCAGCAGGAATGCGTGTTGGTGGGTACCCCTGTGTCCGGGAGTCCAGTCTCCTCCAGGAGTCACGGGGGGAGCGGGGAGCTTCAGGCATGACTTGTCTAATTGGCCTACAAAAAGGATTACTTACTCTTCACTTATCTTTGATTATCTTAACAAAAAAAAAAAAAAAAAAAGGCTTGGGGGCCTTCCAGGTACAGAAATTCTGTATTCTCCATTCTCCAATCCCAGGCCTGGTTTTCTAAGATAGTTTTAAATATTGCCAGAATATTCATGCTGAAGGGTTTTATCTAAATCTTCTCCCTGATTTGATGGTATCTGACAAACTCATTACTCTCTTGGATTTCTGGCTGGAACTGGAGCTAACACATCCTGCGGGTTGTCATACACATTCAAGACTCTTCCCATCCACAGACCGTAATACGTTTCCATTTCCAGTTTGGCAAAATTTTTTAGTCTTTTTTTTTTTTTTTTCTAAATGAATGTCAAGATATAATCTGGATAGATAATAACATGCACAGAACTGAGTCCAAAAACGCTTTGAGGCCAATTTTTAAAATCATATTTTCTAAATTAAGTCATCAGTTTCCTGTGCTGGGAAGTGATCAGTTGGTTGGGGAGACCATTTTATTGCCTTAACTTGGTATTTTCTGTGTTATCACTGCAAGCTCACAAAGTCTTATGAACTTCAAGACTCACGAACTTAAAGAGCTAACAAGCCTGTGTGTGCTCACGAACCCCACACCTGGTAGTTCTCAGAACCCAACATCGTAAAGCCAGCAGCTCTCTCTAGTTCCCACCTTTCTCCAAAATATTCTCTAGAAGGCATGAGCCTCTGCCCAATTCTCTCCCATTTGTCAATCAAACCCAAGGAAACTTCTTTCCAAATGGCAGCGTGGCCTGCAGCTGACCAGAGAACAAAGCAGGAAGGCAAACAAAGAGCAAAGGGCACCGGAAAACTTTTAAAAAAAAAAAAGCTTTTATTGAAGCTTTGCGGGTGGGGGTGGGGGTGGAAGTGGGACAGGGTGGGGAGGGAGATGGGGGAGGGAGACAGGGAAGGGAGGGTCTATCACTCCAAAGACCCTATCCTGCTGTGGGACCTCGAGGCAGGAATAACCATCCTTCAAGGACTTTGCTTTTAATAAAACCTAATTCTCAGCCCATTATCTCCATTCCTTGCATAGGGTGGAGGGGCTTGGGATTCCCCAGGACTGAGCAGCATGTGACACCTGCCTGGGCCTGCACCAGGGTGGCTACCACATGGGACCTAAGGGAAGGGGAGGCCAAATGCCTGGGTGAGACCAAGATCTGAAAAGATGCTGGTCCCCACCAAAATGTAATTCCAAATAGAAACAACAGGAAACCCTAAAGTCATCTACAAAAGCTCTGTCCCAAGGTTCTGACTTTTCTCCCATATGACCACTGTGATGCATTTCAATCAGATCAACTAATCAAAATACCTAGGTTTTACCTAAATCCTGTTGAATAACACAGAAAATAAAACAAAACTCCTAAAATAAACAGGAAAATGTGAACTGTGAATATTTTATATTAGGAAATGCCTTTTTAAGTGTGATAATGGCAGTATGGTTACCATTTTTTTTTTTTTTTTTTTTGAGACAGAATTTCACTCTTCTTGCCCAGGCTGGAGTGCAATGGCGCGATCTCAGCTCACTGCAACCTCTGCTTCTGGGGTTCAAGCGATTTTCCTGCCTCAACCTCTCCCGAGTAGCTGGGATTACAGGCGTGCACCACTACGTCCGGCTAATTTTGTATTTTTTAGTAGAGACAGGATTTCACCATGTTGATCAGGCTGGCCTCGAACTCCTGACCTCAACTGATCCACCCGTCTCAGCCCCTCAAAGTGCTGGGATTACAAGTATGAGTCACCGCGCCTGGCCATGGTTACTTTTTAAAAGTGCATTTATCTTCTTGAGACATAAAGTTGCCGTCTTAAAAGGGCTTCACATTTAGAGGAGCAGGAGAGGAGGCCATGTGAACAGCCCAGATTGTTGGAGCCAGTGGGGGGCCGCCATTCTCTCCCTCCCCTGGCCATTTCCAGGGTGTAGAGCTAGACAGGGCTGGACCGACAGCGTGGGCCGGTAGATGTTGGCGTCTGTCTACACCGTGGCCTCTGCACACCCGCTTGCTTCCTCCCCACACCACGATCTGTTGACACCAGGGTCTCTGCTTACACCACGGACTGTGCACCCACATACCCCGCAGCAGTCCCTCCAGCCGAGTCACAACCTCTTCCTGCCCTCACGACGGGATCCCCCAGCCCTTTCCGACAACCCCCAGCTCGGGGCTGCAAGGGAGGGTTAAGCGATCCCTGAGCACTCTGCCTCTACTCTAGAAATACAAACCAAATTCCGCTCCCAGGATGAAGTTTCTCTTCTCCTGAAGAAAATCAGGTTTTTCAGCTTGGGGGTGGGAAGGCTGTAATTGCAGGACTCAGGGGTGCTTTGCCTGCAGCAGGGAGATTCACAGATGAAAGGAAAAGATAACGTTACCTGCTGGGGCATCTTTCTTCTCACCACGGGTCACGAACCCACTACTTACCATTTAAGAGCCCGCAGGAGAGGATTCCTAGGGATATACAAATACAGACCCAGAAGGGGCTCCCCTGACAGTCAGACTGCCTGCCGTTTCTTTTATCCAGGACTGTGGGGAAATTCAACCTCTTCAAAAATCCCGAGTGAGGCCGCTTTCAACTTCTCTGGCTCCCAGAGCAGATGCACAAAGGCAAGGATCGCCAGGACCCCTGCGGTCGAGGGCCTTGGGTTGCTCCTCCAGGTGACAGCCTCCCATACTACGCAAAGGGTACATTCGTGGGGAGGAGGAAATCTTTTAGAGTTCCATTTCTAACATCCAAGGGTTTGAAAGCTGCCATCACTTTTATAGCATTTTAATCTGGTATGTAATATTTCAGATGCATTCCAAAAAAGTGAATGAATACAACAGGCCAAATGAAAGGCTTATTCTTTTCTCAATCCCCCCTCCAATGGCACCCACAATCCCAAGTTTATACTAATACAGTACTTCCCTACAGTATGTATCCCAGAGCCGTACGCAGGATTTCCTTGCATAGGTTTAACCTTTACATAAATATCAAGCCTCCTACAACTTGTATTTCCTGCTCAACGCTGTGAGATCCATCTATGTTTGAACATGTGGCTCCAGTCAATAAATATATCACAATTTTTTCCCCAATGTTCTGTGGGTGAACATTTGGGTTACTTGCAGTTTTTGCAAATTCCAAAGCTGTTATGAACATTCCCCTTATGGTTTCCTTGCGCCTTTATCTGAGGGGTTCTCTGACCTATGCCTGGGAACGGAATTGCACTGAGTAGGAGAAGCATGATTCAGCTTTTCCAGTAATTGCTAAATTGCCCAATAATGTAGGTATAACGGGGCGTAACAATTCAGCGCCCTCCAGCAGTTTCTTCTCTCCATAACACTTTTTTTTTTCTTTTTCAGACAGAGTCTCGCTCTGTCACCCAGGCTGGAATGCAGTGGTGCCATCTCAGCTCACTGCAACCTTCGCCTACCAGGTTCAAGCAATTCTCCTGCCTCATTCTCCTAAGTAGCTGGGATTACAGGCGCACACCACCATGCCTGGCTAATTTTTGTAGTTTTAGTAGAGACAGGGTTTCGCCATGTTGGTCAGGCTGGTCTGGAACTCCTGACCTCATGATCTGCCCGCCTCGGCCTCCCAAAGTGCTGGGATTACAAGCGTGAGTCACCGCGCCAGGCCTCCATAACACATTTTTGCCAACACTTGGTATAGTCAAGACTTCTACACTTTTGTGAATTTGATGGGAGCAACGCTTTTTCCACACTTTTGTGAATTTGATGGTACTTCCTTATGATTTTAACTGTATTTCCCCAGTTCATGAGTGTTTGGAAGATTTTCCTAGTGAACTGCCTGTTTATAGTTTTGAGACCCATGTATTTAGGGCATAGCTGAACGTGGGTTTAAAGACTTAAAGGTACGAACAATGGACTACAAACACCTCTGCTCGATGGGAAGCAAACAGTGCCAGATGAGAGGACACAGAAGCA